TACCATCTGATACAATGCATTAAACTCTTGCAGTAGCCTAGTGAAAAAGAGGAAAATAGTGTCCATGTCAAAACCATGATAACAGAAGCCGTGATGTCCTAGCCATGGTGGTTGGTAACCGGTGTAGATAGTTCAGGTTGGTCCAGGGAAGGCTTGAGGTGGTCCAATCTGGGGCTCATTCAAAACGCTTTAGCTTCAATAATGGCCTGGATGTCTTCCATCCAGAAGTGAAGCAGCTCAAGCTTTGTGCCAGTGTCAGAGTTGACTCTTTTGAGGGATGATCTTCTCTAAGTACACACAAACGTCACCAATTTAGAGAGCATGCAATAGCTTAGGCCACAAAACAAATTGTCATTGGAATCTTTCACTTGCATAAATTGCAGGGTCTCAGTGTAGAGAACTGGGACTGAGGTCACTTTATACAACAGTCAAGTAAACAAAATGGAGTAACAAGTAAAATTTCACATTTTCTACTTACGGTTTCTGCTCCGCCAATGAAATTAGTTCCAAACCAAGCCAAAGCAGGCTCAACCTGGGACGCTGTGTGTCCGAGCTGCACATCTTGGCATTTTGCTCCTGCATGAATGAGTGGAACTGGTGATTCAATGAGTCCAAAGAGAAAGCTCAATTCAGAATGGCAAATTACCCAAAAAAAATAAAAATTAATCTTTATAATATATTGCCAAAAATAACAGGTGGTAAAGAAATTATCACAATTAACTTTTCCAGAAGCGGAGGTAAACACTAGAAGGTGCACAGTGACACTAAAATAATGCAATAAACATTTTAAGATGTAACAAAACCCTATGTATGTTTAAAATAACATTTAATGAAAGCAGTCAACTCTGGGAATACAAATTGTATGAATTGAAACTTGAGAAACTAAAAGTTGCATGAAAAACAACTAGTTCTCATTGTATAGCGTAAAGAAACGTGCCCATTAACCAACAGGTTTACCATAGGATTTGTATAGTCTTTTGCCTTAAAGATATTTAAAGTCATTTTACAGTGCATTTCTATGGCAAATATAGCATTTCAAATTCAGCCAGTCACTTGTGATTAAACTATTTAGCAGTGGTATTTTGGAGGGCTGTGGAATCAAACTACACTAACTTAAACTAAAAGTGTAAAACTAAATAAAAATAAAACTCGTCATAAAGACGACAGTCTCTCAAGATACTAATCTTAGCAAATAACTTTGGGAAACAATTTTGGTTGAGTTTTCTCACCTGGTATTAGCACAACTTCACCGTAGATGCTGTAGATTCCAATTTGTGAAACCGTGAATGTGCACAACCTCAGCATTGGCCTACATATGGGCTTTCTTAATGAGCCATTTCACAGATGAGACCAATTACGTTTCACCTGTTTCCCCTAAACAGATATCAGTAGAGTTAGAGTACACATGGTACTCATCACTAGCTGATTAGATATGCAAATGAGTGAGGTTGCACTCCAGCACTCTGCAAAAGTCATAAGCAAATTCATTCAGTGAAGATATTGTTAAAATGAAGGAGATAATGGTTGTAGTATTTTTTGATATAGAAAAAGCATATGATTCATTATGGAGAGAAGGGTTACTTATAAAAATAAAGCAGATGGGAATAGGTGGGAAGATGTATAATTGGATAGCACATTTTTTGATGGATAGAAAAATAAGGGTGAAGATGGGGAACGATTATTCAAAAGAATTCAATGTGGAAAATGGAATACCTCAAGGTAGTGTAATAAGCCCAATTTTATTTAATATCATGATTAATGACATCTTTTCAGATACTGACAAATATATTAAATCTGCATTATTTGCAGATGATGGGGCCATATGGATGAGAGAAAAGAATATAAAACATGTAGTAGGAAATATTAAGAAAGCAATTAATAAAGTAGAAAAATGGTCTTATGAATGGGGTTTTAAATTATCAGCAAACAAGTCTTGTTTTATGGTATTCACAAATAAGAGAAATATTGATATAGGAACAATGACATTATATGGACAGACGTTGGAAAGGGTTACAGAATTTAAATACCTAGGACTATGGTTAGATAGCTCTTATACATGGAAAACACATATAGATAACTTGGAAACTAAATGTAAGAAAGTTATAAATCTCTTAAAGGCTGTGGCTGGAAATAACTGGGGTGCAGATAGACAGTCATTATTAAACATATACAGGGCTCTTATGAGATCAATAATAGATTATGGCAGTTTTATTTATGGAGCAGCAGCTAAAACAACACTACAAAGGATAGATAGATTACAGAGTAGAGCTTTACGTATATGTACAGGAGCAGTGAAAACAACACCTATCAATGCTCTTTTAGTAGAGACTGGAGAAACTCCACTGGAAATGAGAAGAATGAAATCAGGTTTAGTATATTGGATGAAAATTAAAAGTAGTATGGATGAAAATGTAACTTCAACAATTCTAAAAACTTGTTGGGAATATTCAAAGTTCCATAGTAATGGATTTGGATGGGTTATAAGCAAATTGATTAAAGAGTTTGGATTAGAGGATAAGGAAATAGCACAATGTAATCCAATTAGTGTTGTTCCTCCATGGTTATTTCCTGAGATAAATGTAGACATGAGACTTCTTAAAATGAAAAATGAATGGAATTTAAACGAAATAGGGATACAGACTGATATATATTTAAGAAACTCTTATTATAATTACCTTAAAATATATTCAGATGGGTCTAAGAATTTAAAAGGGTGTGTGGGAATGGGAATATATATTCCTGAGTTCAAAATACACATTTCTAAAAGAATGTCAGATCAACTATCAGTTTTCACAGCAGAGATGGTGGCAGTTATATTGAGTTTACAATGGGTTGAGGAGGTTAGACCAGATAGGGTGGTGATATGCACGGATTCCAAAGCAGCTTTAGAAAGTATTCAGGGAGAAGGAAATAATAGGAAAGATTTAGTATTAGAAATTCAGCACAGTTTATTTAGATTATACAGGGGTGGCATTGATATTTGGTTTTGTTGGGTACCAGCACATGAAGGGGTAAAAGGAAATGAAAAGGCAGACAAATTAGCAAAAAGGGCTTTAGAGGAGGCAATAGCAATTACAATTCCTTTAGGGAAAGGGGAAGGAAAATCATTTATTAATAGGAAAGAAATTGAAAATTGGCAAAAAAGGTGGAATGAAGATAAAAAAGGAAGAAGATTATATAAAGTACAAAAGTCAGTAGTAAAGAGAAATATTAATGAGAGAAACCGAAGGGAAGAAATAATAATGATCAGATTAAGAGTAGGTCATACTTATTTAAATGACAATTTATATTTAATAGGGAGGAAAAATAATGATAAATGTGAAGGATGTAGAGAGATAGAAAATATAGAACATGTATTGATGAACTGTAAAACATATGAACCTGAAAGGGAGAAATTGAGAAGAGTAGTTGAAAGGACAGGCCAAGAATGTAGTCTTAAAGGATTATTGGGAAATAAAGGAAATTTAAAAGATATTTATAGATTAAGGAAAGCATTATTTATTTATCTTCAGAATACAAAATTAAAAAATAGAATTTAATAGATGTAAAACAATGTTGCTACACACTCATGAACAGTAGGTGGCGGTATGCACCTTAAGTTGCTTGCAATCCGCCATGATAGAAAAGAAGAAGAAGAAGAAGAAGAAGAAGAAGATATGGTTGAGTTGTGGTGTCAGAAAAAAACAAAAAACCTTTTATATACCTTGCTAAGTAAGAAACAATAGCAGCGGTCATATTTATTTTGAGATGGCAAACCTGAAACCTTTAAATAGTAAAACATACAAAAAATTAAAACACACAAGGGTGTTTAGCTGATAATTAACCTTCAGATTAATTGTACTTCATTACTTAACAATTTATTTTGGGGTATTTTTAAATTACGGTACTTGAATAGGCTATGCTAATTGAGACTTAATTACATTTACAAGTCAAAAATGTAAAAAAAAACAACCTTTTACTCCTTAACATTACAAACTAAAGTACAAAAAATAGGCTACGTATTTCACAGCACTTGACTTTTGTCAAGAGATAGTTCACCCAAACATGAAAATCATGAATGTTGGTGTAACCACACAGTTGACGGCACCCATTGACTTCCATATATAAAAAAATAAAAAAATACTATGGAAGTCAATGGGGACCAGCAACTGTTTGGTTACCAATATTCTTTAAAATATCTTCTTCTCTGTTTAACTGAAGAAAGAAACTCATACAGGTTTGGAACAACATGATGGTGGTGAGTAAATTCTGATAATCTTTTTTTATTTTGGGGGGAACTATCCCCTTAAATAGCCTATTAAATCTATGTCAATCACCCATTCAAAGTCCATGATGATTATTCATTCTTGTGAAGATATGTATCAACAAAGAGATATAAGGGACTTTGGTATCAGTAACCACAACACCACAGACGAATATGTTTCAATCTGTGATTTTAACACCTGTTGTGTCATAAAACCTTTCAGTCAGGATTTTTTTTTTTTTTTTTTTTGGAAAAAAAGGCAGCTTTACAGAGTTTGTGTATTAAAGTTACTTTATTATTTATCATCTTTCAAAATGTACGTAAAAAACTTTGCTTTTACAAAACCCTTTTTGTATGTTTGTTTTTATACAGCCTACTTTTGATTTGATTTTTGATGTAAGGCTCAATTTCTTTGTGTTTTTTACACTTCTAAATAGAAAATTGATGATAAACATAACCCAGTCACAAAATATACACAGTACATACAACCAAAAAGACTTTTCAGTATTAAGGACTTTTGGGGTTGTGTAACGTGACGCCATTGTGCGTAAACCATGCGTGTGCATAGTGCGTGTGTCGTTTCACGGTCTCGCGATGCTCTGCTCATGATTCTGATAGGCTGCTATTGTATTCGTCACTGGCCGTGTACCGAGTGAACTGAGCGCTGATTGGCTGGTTTGGTTGAAGCGAATGGATTCAGTCATTTCTCGTGACTGGTGGTGAAATGGTGTGCCGGTTGGACTAGAACTAGGACAGGCTGCGTGTAATAATAATAACAAAAAAAAAAAACAAGCTTCAAGCAAAAAGATTACAGGTAAAACCTGCGCACTGGTTTCCACTGAACTCCAGCAGAGAAGCGCCAGAAACTGAGTGAAGATGGGGGAAGAAACTGAGAGCTCAGTGAATAGAGAGAATCAGATCATAAAGGATGAAAATACAGGCACATCGGAGGAGAGCGGTGTGAAATACTACACAGTCAAAGAGGTTCAAGATCATAACATGATCAAAGACACATGGCTCGTCATCCACGATAAAGTTTACGATATCACAAGTTTCATGGAGGAGGTAAGACGGTTGGAGTTTCATCATGTCCTCCACACCACAGCTCACACTGTGCAAACACACATCACTAAACCCTGCATGATTTTACTTGACTTTTCTCTATCACATATATATGTTTTACACGAGCTACTCTTACTAATTCACGCTGGAATGTCTCTAGACTCTAAACAGAAGCTGCTGTCAAGTGTCAAGATAATCAAAGTTTGTGTGGCCCGATCAGTGTGTTAGCATACTAGATTCAGTGCAGTAAACAACACTCTGAAGGATTAAACTAGCTAACACTGTTTATAATCTTTTTTTTGTTTCTTTTTTTTTTTATAGCAAAAAAGAAAGGCTTTACATGATTGGGTATTAGCCACATAGCTAACTTACCCGGCTAGCCCAGTCACGTTGAACTGTCACAGTGAAATGAATGATTCCAGCTTGTGCGGTTCACCTCTGACACATTTATTTCCTTCAAATCCTTTGGCACGGTTTGGAGTTTTATACAACCTACATTTCTTTTCATTTTAGTATGACACACTACTACTGTGTTGCTTACAAGAAGCGTGTGAAAACGAGCAAGTCGGTAATCAAATCTTGTGAATTAGGGCTGTAACTAACGATTATTTTGGTAATCAGTCGATTATTTTGACGATTAATCGGATATATATTTTTTTAAATAAAAATAGACCCAAGCAAAGACCTAAGCCTTTAAAATGACTTAAAATACACATACATTAACAATTGGGTTAAAACACATTATCGAAAAAGCAAGTAATCATGGTTTTATAGAACAACAATATAAACAATCATCTTATGCAGTACATATGCCTGCATAGGGCGTCAATGGCCTGGTGGTGTTACACTTTACAGAAGATCAATTCCTTGTTTAATATTGTCCGAACAACATTTCATTCAAATGGTCACCTCTTTATGATAGAAATGCTACAGCCACTTTCATTTCTTGAACATGAAAAGTAATATTTGAAAGAAAGAAGAAATAATATTGCATATACTGCCCTCCTTATTTATATCTAATCAGTTTACAGCTGATTAGATAGAAAATCAGAAAGGTGTGTTCACAATTTTTAGAGTCAGCATAAAAGCAGTCCATAGGGTTGCTCCATTTGTTCAAAAATACTAAACAAAAAAATGTGATGTCATACTACATTCATTTGTTATATAATGCATCGATTATAAAATACTTCTAATTACAAAACAACTTTATGTAATGTTGTAATATGAACAACCATTCAGTATTGTAAGTTCATTGACTACGTTTACGTCTCAACCTGTCGCTCACATGAGATCGACCAATAGCAAACCACAACCATCCAATCAATTCCCCATGGACAAAATTAAGTCTCATCCTACATTTTGTTTTCTTGCTTGAGAAACCGTTTCACTCAGATATGTCACAATAGGGAAGATAATAATTATTTTATAAGATGGAAGTGAGCTAATTAACAGGGCTCAACACTAAAGATTTTTCCCACTGGCCCCGCCATAAAAATGAATAAAATTAGACGTTTTTTTGTTTTGACTCTTGTGAAATTTCACTATTCTTGATTGATTCCAATTTCGATACCACAGCAAAAACTACTAGCTTAACTAATATAAATAAATTACAAGCAACAGCTCAAATAGATACAACAGAACAAAGATACAAATGAAATAAACAGTGTTTTTCAGGGAAAACTAACAGTATTTAGTATTTCAGTATTCAAATTAAATATCTATTAATCCATGTTAAAGCTGGAAAAATTGTTTAGTCAAGATCAGTGAGTGATTTTCTCTTTGTCTTTTGTGATTGATTAACTTTAATGACACAGACAGCAGCAGGTTTATAAGGCCGCTGTCACTTTAAGACCGAATGCACGGATCCAAAATACTGTTACACATGAGTTTTTTCTCAAATGTTTACGTATAGTTAAGACAGTAAACTGACAGTGTCTATGCGACTTGCCTTTGTGTATTTATTTCGTTCAAGTGCAAGAAGACGCCAAAGAGAAAGTTCATTCAAGTTTATGTATTTAAAATGTTGTTATTGAATTAAGTTCTCTTTCGCTTTGTCGAATTTTTTAGTAACTGCTGCAATTGAATCTGAAGTGTTTGATTCACTAAAATAAGCTGGTTCATAGTCATTTGACATGAGTCACACGAGTCATTTGTTCTGGAATTGGTGTACTTGATCCACCTAAAAAGTATTTTATTTCGGTGTTGTGGCAGAACCGTTACCAGGACCAAACTAAAAAAATATTATTATTATTAAAAAGTAAAATATTTCAGTTCCTGTTTTAAGGCGGCATAAAACAGAAGTTGTGATAGTCTTTTTCCCCCTATTGTGACGTATATCTGAGTGAAACGGCTTCTCGAACATGAAAAAATGTAGGGTGGGACTTGATTTTGCCCGCAAAAGGCTTGCAAAGAAATTTGACGTCAGTTGCTTGGATGGTACACTTTCTCACCATTGTGTAACATCAAAATCAGAAATTGTAAAATGAGATCAGAGGTTACATTTTGTGCAACAGATGTGTCTGGATTTATGGGATGTGCAGAATAGTTGATCAATGAAGAGTGCCTGTGGTCAGAGGATACAAACTTTTCCTTCTCCTTTTCTTTCATAGCATCCAGGAGGTGAAGAGGTTCTGCTGGAGCAAGCAGGTTCAGATGCGACAGAAAGCTTCGAGGATGTGGGTCATTCCACAGATGCCAGAGAGATGCTCCAGCAGTATTACATCGGGGAGCTCCATATGGTAGTGCTTGATTTTTATAATGCATTTCTATGGACAAAACACATCTGCAAATATGAGTAGAGTGATACAATTTAGGGATGTCCCGATACCACTTTTTCACTTCCGATACCGATTCCGCCGCTTTGGCTATTTGCCGATACCGATATCAATCCGATATTTTTATTTTATTCTATTTTATTCTTGAACTAATACTAAAAGGCTACTAATAATATTATGGAAGCACTTTGCTCAATTAGCAACCTAAAAACCATTCACTCAAATGGAGAACAAATACTTCTCCAGTAGGCTATAGGCTAGTCCACAACACAGTTGATTAGGAAAGACTGCCACCCTTTATTCAAAAGTTAAAGTACCAACGGGTTTAAAGTTAATCATTAACAAGCTTTAAAGGGATACTCCACTTTTTTTGGAAATAGGCTCATTTTACAACTCCCCCAGAGTTAAACTGTTGAGTTTTACCGTTTTTGAATCCGTTCAGCCGATCTCCGGTTCTGGCGGTACCACTTTTAGCATAGCTTAGCATACATCATTGAAGTGGACAAGACCATTAGCATTTCAAAAAAAAAAAATGACCAAAGATTTTCTATATTTTTCCTATTTAAAACTTGATTCTTCTGTAGTTACATCGTGCACTAAGACCGACGGAAAATGTAAAGTTGCGATTTTCTAGGCTGATATGGCTAGGAACTATACTCTCATTCCTGCGTAATAATCAAGAAACTTTACTGCCTTACCATGAGAGCAGCAGGCGTAATGATATGACACAGCGCCTGAAAATAGGCCACCTTCCGTCAACACAACGGAACTATGGAACTACAGAACCTGAAAATAGTTCCGTTGTGTTGACGGAAGGCAGCCTATTTTCAGGCGCTGTGTCATATCATTACGCCTGCTGCTCTCATGGTAAGGCAGTAAAGTTTCTTGATTATTACGCAGGAATGAGAGTATAGTTCCTAGCCATATCAGCCTAGAAAATCGCAACTTTACATTTTCCGTCGGTCTTAGTGCACGATGTAACTACAGAAGAGTCAAGTTTTAAATAGGAAAAATATCGAAACTCTTTGGTATTTTTTTTTTTGAGAAATGCTAATGGTCTTGTCCACTCCAATGATGTATGCTAAGCTATGCTAAAAGTGGTACCGCCAGAACCGGAGATCGGCTGAATGGATTCAAAAACGGTAAAACTGAACAGTTTAACTCTGGGGGAGTTGTAAAATGAGCCTATTTCCAAAAAAAGTGGAGTATCCCTTTAAAATTACCCATTGATCCGTGTACTCTTGCGTCCATTCGTTTTTCCTTTTTTAACCCGTAAAACGAAAAATTAACGGTTGTTGTATTTTTAAAACGCAAAGTTGAACATTTTGACGTAAGTTATATATAAATAACGCAAGTGTTCGCGCCCGCGCTCCGTGCCATGCAGTGCGCGCTCCACACTCCCACACACACACACACTTGCTTTATGCGTCAAAATCTTGTGTACAGTTTATAAACCGAGGAGACGGATTGCAAAACCGCGTCTATAGTACACCGAAGGTAGTGGGAGGGAGTGTCTGATGTGAGTTTAGGGGGCACGCGTCAGCCAGAGATGTGCGTGTGTGTGTGAGTGAGAGAGGGAGACGGTCGCCGAAATCTTCAGGATCTGAAGTGCCGGTGTTTCGGGTACAAAAACCCGCCGAACTGATCCGAAACCAGCCCAATTTTTATCCACCCGCCCAAACCCATTTTTGCCCGCAAAATAGATTGCAAAACGGCCCAATCTGCAGGCTGCGCCGCTTATCTGGATAAGGGAAATGCTAATATTCAAGCAGGTATCGGATCATATTTTTTCTCCCCTCCGATCTCCGATCTAGCGTTCTGGGCCAGTATTGGCACGATACCGATGCTGTGGATCGGATCGGGACATCCCTAATACAATTAATCATTCAGAGATTGCGAATTCATAAACTTAAATAATGCTTACTTTCCTGTTTTAGGATGATCGAAAGAATGAATCAAAAAAGGTAAAAAAAAAAAAAAAAAAACAATTCCAAGAACTCTTTGTGAACCATTGTGACCGATGCAAAAACATATCGACTGTCAATCATGTATAAGTTGCGGTTTGTTAATGTTTCCTCGCTTTATCTCGTTTCTGTTCTAGGATGTCTACATTACAACTTCCAAGGAGTCATGGTAAGAAGTCCGATTCAGTTCTGCATGATCTACAGTGCTCATGTGTGGGTTTTTTTCTTTAACCGTTTGTTTGTCTTTTGCTCAGGTCATTGACCACCTGGTTAATTCCTGCCATAGCTGCGGTGCTTGTGGGCATCATGTACCGTTACTACATGCTGGAACACAAATCGTCCTGAACTTTGTCACCGCTGTATTTCTCTTGTCTGGAGGCCTTGACTTGTTTAAGTGAGTGAGCCTATAAGATCGCTCTCTAAACTCCTGCTCATCCTTTCTTTTTTAGTTTCTACTCATCTGACTGGAAATGGTCCATAGCCCATTGGCTCATTTTGACTGGGTTTTTCTACCAGCCTTCAGAATCCACAATTCTGTCTAGCCTGCAGGACTTTATCTGCAGCATTATACTATCTGTCTTTTTAAATGTACTTGGAAATGACTTCAACTCCTTTAAATTAATCTAGAGTGTAGTTGGAAAGGTCAGGTATGGTCTAGCTTTTGCTGATGGATCCTATTTTAGGGAGCATTTTGACAAATCGCATGTCCTTCACATAGCTGCTAGTTGATGTTTGTTAATGTATTACCTTAGGTTTATTACCTGAGGATTTTGACCAAATGATTCAAGTGGAGTTGAAAGTTGCATCTCCAAGAGAAGAGCATGGAGTCATGGTACTAAAAAGACATTTCTATTTTAAATACAACATGGTTTAAAGGGATGGTTCAGGAAAAAATGATAATTTACCCCCCCCCCCCCCCCTCATGTTGATCCAAACCGGTATGACTTTATTTCTTCTACAAAAACACAAAAGAAGATATTTTTGAAGAATGTTTGTATTTTATGGGGAAAAAACATTTCTTAAAATATATTCTGGTAGGTACAGGTGTGGCACGATATGAGGGTGAATTTTCATTTTTGGGTGAACTATCCCTTTAAGGAAAACTAGAAAATATTGTCATAGTTTCATATTGTCATAGGATTCTGCATGAATGCATAGTGAGTTTTTTTGTCATAATTTAATTATAGCGATGAAAAACAACAACTTTGTTGTTGAGTACAAATGTGTTAATCTCTAGGTCACTATCTGCTCTTTTAGTTCAACAGCAGAAGAATCAAAGCTCAAGGCCTTTAATTTTGCTGAGATACATGTGATATATTGAATAATCATGATAATGTATCCGTCTGATTAGGAATATGTGTGGTATGTCAGTGAATTGACGTACTGAATCAGTCAGTGTGTTATAAAAATTTCAGCTACGTTTCAATAAATGGTTAAAAATGCAAATATGTCTGTGTACTATGTAATTATTGTCTATATTGTATTTCAGACTAAATTAGGAACATGCATTTAAATGTAAAATGGGCAGGTACAAAGGTATCATCCACATACAAAGTTGGTTGATAACAACGTGGTAATATCGTGGTTAACAATTACTTGTTTACTTAGGAATGTATTCTATATTATTTAAGCACTTAAAACCGTATCAGTTTGACTGAACCTCAGGTCATTTTCACACAAAACTCATTCATTTAAAAAATATAAAAAATTTGTGTTCATCGGAGTGGTCCAAGACCTCGGAAACACAAATACACTTTTTTTTCTGGATTTGAGTTTATGTGGTTGAAAAAAAAGAAAAGAGTAACTAATTACTATTTTTATCATTTGAATGGGGGTCAATTTGACCTTACAATTTGTATTTACACAGTCACATGAACACTGTGAGACCCGTTATCTGTAAATTTGCCAGTACTGAACAATTTGTATATATCTTCTCCACAGAAGTAAAAATATTAGGATGGTTCTGTGCGTTCACACATTTTACTACTACTACTAATAATAACAATAACAACAATACATTAAATATGCTGGAAATTATTCTAAAGAAGAAATCGCTTGGTAAAAAAAAGTGCTGGTAAGTCTGATTCATTAGGGAGTCGGTTCTTTTGGACGGATTGTTTCAAATAATCGGTTAAAATTAACCAATTCGCTCGCAATCAATTTTATTGTGTTGTTTGTTTAAAGCATGCTGTTATCGCCTATAGTTATCGCCACGTTCCTTCGTTTACTAAAGCTTTGCAATCAAGTTGACAAGTTGAGTCGTTTAAAACGACACCGGTTGAAAAATTCGAATCGTTCAGGAATCGATTCACGAAAACCACAGACGTCACTTCCCTGTGAATGCTGGGATAGTAATGGCGGCCTACTGTACACATTGTTGACGTTTACCGCTATGCTATTTCACTGAATGTTTTTTTTATTGTATCATTCAGTACATAACTTTTATTATACAGTGTAGAGCAGGTTTGAGGAACCTATCGTTTCAAAGGTAAACCCGTTTTTTCCTTATAAACGAGTAGTGCCACAGTGCTGCTTTGCATTAACACATTTGAGAGATTTATCATGTACATCAATGACCGCGGTTTAATCAGCTTCATTCTAATTAACGTACATATCGATAATACAGCGGCAGCGCTGGTTTTATTATCAAAAAGCTATATGATCAATTCAGTTATTAAGGTTTTCTAACCTTTCAGCAAACTTACCGTGGCAACCAAAATACTGTTGTCACTACACTTATTAGGGATATCTTATCCACACCAAACGCACACCAAACATTAAACATTATATTGAATCCTTAATTATGTTGCGATCTCCTTTAAAGTTATAGGTGGTTAAAAAATCTTCCTATCGTTTATTGTTGTTGTCACAGTGGTGGCCATGGCTAAAGCTAAGAACTACATTTTTATTTGAACAATGATAGCTGTAGTAACTGGTATTGTGGTAGAAACTGTGCTAGAAATGACAAAACCTACCCGTTGTATTGTTTAGGGGCATTTTAGATATATTTATGTAACAATATATATTTTTTTTAATGTAACAAGTTATCAGTTAAACGTCCATTTCCCATTTTTTTTTTTACTTATTATTCGTTCCATGTACTCATATTAATCACATATTGTATCAGCATGTGTTTACTTGACTTCTAACACAAAGTCTGTGTATTGTTGGCCCTTATTATGAGTAACTTTTGTCAATGTCTTTTTAGATACACCAGAAATCCATCAGCTGAGTGCTGTGATTGACACCTCAGCAGAGATGGAAGAGATGGAAGATGATTCCTCCCTGCATCGACTAGAAGGCAGTGACCCCAGTGTGCAGGTCGGGGGGCTGATAGTGAAGAAGAAGATCGCTTCAACAGAACAACATGTGTTCAGAGCACCCGCTCCACGCACCTCGCTCCTGGGCCTGGATCTGCTGGCCGCCCAGAAACGCAAGGAACGTGAGGGCAAGGAAGGGCTGGATGATCAACCCAAGAAATCCAAGGTGTCGTCCTACAAGGACTGGGAGGAGGGTAAAAGTGATTCAGGGTCTGATGATGAAACTGAAGAGGATGGCGAGAGCAGGAATGGGAAAAAAGAAAGGTGGGTTGTTCTTCAAGAAAATTAGGTAACACTTTATTTTTACAGTGTCCTTGTTACATGTGACATCTGTACTTACTAACTATAGTAATAATAGTAAATTATGCATAAAATGCAACTAACCCCAAACCAAACCCTAATGCTAACATTATAGAGTACCGAACTTCATGTAGCAATCAATGTAATACTTAACAAAGACACCTTAAAATAAAGTGTAACCAAAAATTATTTGTGCCACATAGACAGAGTCTGTAATCACAAAACATCTTAAGGCTAAAAGTATCTCCTAACTTGCCGATTTAGGAGAAACTCTTAAAAATTAGGGATGCACTGATATGAAACTTTTGGCTGATACCGATAATTCTTTATATTTGAAAGCCAATAACTGATATATTGTAATTTTTATATATTTTTTGAGAGCCTGATTTAAAAAAAAAGTCTCACCATTAAAAGACATGTCCCAAGCACAAAATTATAATGTTTTTATTATAATTTTATGTAGGCTATGTGACAGACTTGCGTTGCACTTAACCGTATTTTCCTTTTTGAAGTGATTTCAATCATATTTCAAGTGATTCAAAACCATCATGGTGAACAGTGTGCATCTGAAGTGTCTCAGCCGAACGAAATAATCCATTATTTATCGGCTTTAATATATATCGGCCAAATTTTCTTATCAGGCCGATAACGATAAGATTAAAATGTAACATTTATCGGCCGATACTGATGGTGGCCGATATATCATGTATCCCTATTAAAAATAATGGTCGTGTCATTCCTAATTTTAGAACTCCTAAATTTTTGCTCTAAGAGTATTTCACAAAGCATTTTAGTGCTAAAACCAGCCCCTTACAATCCTTTACAACATTTTTTATTTTTGTAACAGACATAATCAAACTGTGGGTGAAAAGACTTTGTGAAGCTGTCATTGTCATTTAGGAATAGGATCACATGGGTGTTTGAATCGAGATTGTGATCGAGATTTAATGATTATTCGTGCAGCTCTACTTTTGGATATTATATTATTATTTCTGTAATCTTTTTTTTTTTTCGTATCTATAACATTCCTAATATCTTCCATCTTAAATATCAAGGACACAAGCAAATTAATAAATGCTATGCATCATGAGTTTACTGGGGTTTTTTTTGTGCCTCTACAGGAAGTACCGTGTCACTGGCTCAGAAACGCCATCAAACCCAGGAGGGGTTAGTGAGGAGTTCAAGCTGAAAAATCAACAGAGGGAAAAAGACAGACGTGAACATGGGGTTTATGCATCCTCCAAAGAAGACAAGACCAGAGACAAAGACAGATCCAGAGACAAGGACAGAGACCACGACCGCTACCGTGACAGAGACAGAAGAAAAGACAGAGGTAAGTCAGGTGGTCTCTCCGCCTGTGAGATCTCAGCACAGAACTTCAGGCTCTGATCATGGTTTTATGGGCTTTGTGCAGATGTACGGGACGGCTGCCACAACCGTGGATCCAGCAGCAGTCGCTCTGAGCGCGGTGAAGGCAGCGTGAGGAGTGAACGCTCTCAGAGGGACGGCTCGTCCGAACGAATGAGTCGTGGCACTCGACGTGATGAGCCAGATTCACCCCGTAACAGAACCAAAGGTCAGTCACGCTCCCAGATTTGCTCAGAACGCTCTAGCCTGATCAGTTTTAACAATACTGAAGGTCAGTTGTCAATACATTTCCTGTGTTATTTGTTCCGGAGATTGACTCAAGTAGAACCTTTCTTTCTATGTATTATGTATGCATTCCTAACCTTAAAGGAGAACTCCGGCGCAAAATGAACCTTTGGTCTAATAACACATTGGTACCTAGTCAACCGTTCTCTGAGATTTGTTTTCATAATAATCGGATGTAAAGAGTTTTATCTCTAAAAACTGTTTAGCGTTTAACGCTAGTATATAGGGCATAGAGTAATGAAAAATAAAGATCGCTAGTTAATACCACTAACAATGCATGCAACCCGAAGCATTGAGAACTTTGTAAGTGTACAGACAGTTTAATAAGAAGATATTTTATAAAGAGAGTCCACTTCGCGTATACAGACAGGGGCCATCTTTGGAAAACAGTCTCGACTAGTCAAACCACGAACGCCGTTCATACAGTTCATAAACAAGGGCCACTTGGCAGGGCGTTCGTGG